TTTTATTTACTATATAAAAATCTAATATACCACGTAGATCATATGAAAAATGATCTACGTACACCCTACCCTTAAACCACATCAAATTCGAGTTTACTCAATTTGAATGATAATCCGTCTACTATAGTTCACTAGTTAGTTTGGTATAAAATTCATGGTGTCAATCAGGGACTGGAACAAACCAGTTATAAATTTGTATTAATTCATGGTTACAATCAAGGGACACGGAATAAAACTGTTCGCCAGATTACCTTATAAATTAACAAACTAATTTGGGCGAAGTGCATAAAAATTATCGGTACAACAGATTTGCCGAGCAAAATTTTATTCTACGGGAAAATGGAAAATGTTTATCCATGCCCAATACTTTATTATATCAACGTCACATTCTATATCCAGGTCAAATTGTTTGAATCCGATTATCCAATACCATTGGCTAATTCAATTGTCCTTTTTTATCCGAAAGAAAAATTATAAAAGACCGAGATTTCGATCAATATCGACTCAAGAAAATTTGCAACTTGTAAATTGTCTTGCAGATCCTTCTTCCTGTTAATCTTTGGCTGTAATATTATTCAATTAATTTTGCCGTTTAATTTCTGCAAAAAAAAATTGCTATTAAAAATCATTTAATAATATATCACAGCATACAAAGCATACATAGCATACATACGTAGTATACAGTATATATAATAATAATAATAAAATGCCACCAAATCAAACCACATTACATGAAGAAATAGACCTCGAACGTCAAGAGGCGTCAGATGTAACTGCAACCATAGAAATTACAAAAACTGTCAATAATCAAATTGTTAAAGACAATAGCTCGTCACCGTCTAACGATACCTTATTACATGGGGTTGAATTATTTTTAGTTGTTTTTGGGTTCGTAGCGATAATTTTCCCGTTATTCTCATTATATGACTAAGTTATTAATTTAGTTTTACTTACGTACCATATTATAGTCTAGCATGTGCCGTATTTTTGGCCGCCTTAGATCAAACAATTGTTTCCACCGCTGTACCTAAAATAGTTTCGGATTTTAATGGATTGGATCAATTGGCATGGGTTGCAACTTCTTATTTACTCACAACGGTAATAATATTTTACATCAATTCCATTTAGTTTGAATTATATGTGATTCTCACGTGATAATGCTTATCAACATAGACTTCCTTTCAACCAATCTATGGAAAATTATCTGATATTTTTGGTCGTAAAGCAACATTCTTGGTTGCAATTGTCATTTTTGAATTGGGCAGTTTGTTATGTGGTGTTTCTACAAATATGGTAAATAACTTTTTGTTTTTATTTTTTTCTTTTATCTTTTATTTCTCAATTCTTAGTTCGAATATTTATCACATTATTTTTAGGTTACGCTGATAATATACCGTGCAATTGCTGGTATCGGAGGTGGTGGTATCATGGGGTGCGTACTTTATTACCTTCATTACCGTATTGATTTATATTAAATTTTTATGCATACTAAATTTTATTTTTATTTTTTTCTTTTTAGTCTGGTCTTAATTATTATTTCTGATATTGTTAGCTCTAAAGATCAGGGAAACTATCAGGGTGTTATTGGCGCATGCTTTGGTGTTGCTTCCGTAGCAGGCCCTCTCATGGGTGGTGCTTTTACTGATCATGTTAGTTGGAGGTACGCATGTCAAATAATTTGATGAAAAAAACCTATCCATATTATTACCGTTTTATATATGTCATCTGTAAAACTCATCATCAAATTTATTCTCCCCCAAAAAAAGATGGTGTTTCTTCATCAATCTTCCTTTAGGCGCAGTAACATTAATCGTTGTAATTTGGTTTCTTCACCTACCAAAACCAGCCGGTTCATTACTTGATCAAATTAAGAGAATTGATATTATCGGCACCATTGTAATGATCTGCGCAACTGTTTGTATCTTATTACCTCTCAATTGGGGAGGCAGTACTTATCCTTGGAATAGTCCCGTGATTATAGTACTTCTATGTGTCGGTGCATTAGGTTACGTAATATTTGGTTTGGTTGAATATTACATCGTTGCTGAACCTGTTGCTCCACGTAAGAATTATGGCTTAATTTATTTGCAAGACTTATTATAATAATTAACCTATTATATTATTAGTATTAAAAAAAATTTTTCTCGTTTATTAGCACGTTTATTTAAAAATCTTAATGTAGTATCATGTTTCCTCGCAAACTTTTTTCAAGGAATGGTATTCTTTAGTTTGATTTTTTATATACCACTTTATTTCCAAGTTGTAAAAAATGATTCAGGCAAGTATGTTCTATCAACTAAATCTCATTCGCTCGCTAAATATCAACTAAATATATAATTTTGTTTAAACAGCCACACAATCCGGATTAGATTTTCTGCCTTACATTCTTGGTGTAGTAGTTTTCTCAATTGTAGCAGGTCAACTATTCTCTCGAACAGATAAAATAGAGTATCGATTAGTTACTCTAATTGCTTCGGCATTGACAATAATCGGTTCCGGATTAACCACTATGTGGAATGAAAACACCGGATATGGTGAATTTATAGGATACATGTTAATTAGTGGTGCTGGAATTGGTATAAGTATTCAATCTATTACATTATGCGTTCAAAGATTGGTTGAGCCGAAAGATATAGCTGCTGTTACTACTTTATCATTATTCTTTAGAAGCAGTAAGTGTTCAAAAAAATAAGTTTAGTTTTTTTTTCTTAGCAAAATTATTAAAATATTTTACTAATTCATTGTCAATATATTTCTTTTTAGTTGGATCTGTCCTTGGAATTGCAATAGCAGGAACAGCATATAATAATAAACTTTCTCAAGAATTAAGTACTTTAACATTACCTCCATCCTTTTCAACACAATCCGTATATTCTATACAAACATTACCACCAGATACACGGGCATTAGTAATTCACGCTTATGTGTTAGCTTTTCAATTCACTTTTATGCTTGCCATAATATTTGGAGGGTTAATGTTTATTTCATCGTTGTTTATGGGAAATAGTAAACCAATACATAGTAAGGATGGAGAAAGAGTCGGGATATCTGTATTTGAATAATTTAATTATTTAACAAAAATATAGACGTATAATCGTATGAGTGCAATCTTACTATTAACACATTAAGATTTTTTTTTATATATTTATTATCCCCCTTACGCTAGAGTTTCGACTGACTATTTATGCTATGTTAAACAATTATTTATGCATATTAATCTTAAATAAATATATATAATTTTAATTGTATATTTTAAAACAATTATTAATTAGCAAATACGAAGGATGATAATATTTCATGTTATATACTGTTATAACTCTTAGAAATATTTATAATCGTTATGTTTAGGCATCCGTTTACATACTATATGTTTCTATTTTTTATTTTTTGCACTTAATTTTATTTATAAGCAGTTAAATGATTAACGGTTTCAAACTTTAGTGTAAACTGTTAATATTAAAGTTATAGCCATAAACTGTTGCCTATTATATGTAAAATTTCGTTCCCAACATTTTTAATTACCGTATTCCTGCGAAAATAAGCACCCCTCGGAGCAATTTTATAGCCAAAATTCTCGTGCTCTAGTGATCGGATCTACATAATTTTAGTACCATCCGAATCGAATAATCAAAGTGATTCGAATGTTACCAAAATTACGCAGATCCGATCATTAGATCACGAGAATCATATGGGCGAAAATCTCCAATTTCGTGATTATTTAGTGTGAGTGATTAGGTTAAATAAAATTTGAGCCAATCAATTATGTGATATGGCATGATTATTGAGAATAAAA